TTGTTTGATTATCATCTTATTAAAGCTAGTTTCATATTGAGTTTAGATTTGATTAATCTCATTGTTACACACACCCACTTGAGCTTATTGTATTTGCATTCATAATATATTTGGGGTTGTGAGAGATAGTAACATTGAGTTGAGCCTAATTGAATTCTCATCCATATTAGAGAACAATTATTTGTTGTATTGTTACATTGTGAGATTGTAAGGTTTTCGGTGAGCTAGAAAACCGAGTGTGTTGTGAAGTTTTCGGTGAACTAGAAAACCGAGTGTGAGGAGTGGACGTTGATCGGTGATCATTGAAAACCGACATAGTGTGGTTGTAAACGTTATTCGGGTGAGCGTAGAAAACCCAGTTGTGATAGTGGATTTCTCCCCGGGAGTGGGGAGCAGAGACGTAGGACGGAAGGTCCGAACTCCGTGATCATTTTGCTTGTTTGAGTTTGGCTTAGCACTTATAATTGTTCATCTTTATAGCATTTCTCTCATTGTTCATTTCATCCACTATTTCATTTGTTTATGTTACCCTTGTGTTTGCATATCCTTACATATATCATATTGTATATCTCTTTGATAGAATATATCATCTTGTGTTAGTTTTTATATCCTTGCACATACACTGCCTATATCTCTTTGTTAGGATATATCTTATTGTTTGTATATCCTTGCATATCTTTCTATCATATAGGATATATCACCTTGTTTACATTGCTTATCCTAGCTCATATATCTTGTGGTATTTCATACTTACTAGGATAACTTGTTAATTAATTTTAATTAGCTTTTAATCGGATTAGATTAGCATAAGACCCTAATCACCCCCCCTCTAGGGTCTAACAATTGGTATCAGAGCTTGGTGCTCTTTGATTTAAGGTCTAATCACCTTGAGTTAAAGATCCAAGTTATCTTTACACTAACAGGAGCACCGGTGTGTTAGAGATGCACACTTCAGTCTACAGTGGCTCTCTCCACTACGGAGGCAGAGTATATGGCGTTGACTGAAGCTGTGAAGGAGGCTTTGTGGTTGCAGGGATTATTGGAGAACTTGGGGATTGCACAGGAGACCCTTCGGGTATATTGTGATAGCATGTCAGCTATCTATTTGGCGAAGAACCAGGTTTATCATGCACGCACAAAGCACATCGATGTCAGATTCCATTTTGTTCGTGACGTTTTGGATGAAGGAGACGTCATGTTGGAGAAGATCCACACGAAGGACAACCCTGCAGATATGTTGACCAAAGTTGTTTCAGGTGTTAAGTTTGGTCATTGTTTGGAAATTTTGAACATTCTTCGGTGTTGAGGCCTTTCGAGGCCATTTGGATGAACTACGGGCGGCTTGATTCCTTGGGCAAGAGGATACGTAGGCAGTCTTTACGATGCAGCCGCGGCTTGATTCCTTGGGCAAGAGGATACGTAGGCAGTCTTTACGATGCAGCCGGTTTTTGGATTAGTTGATTTTGATGGGGGTGAGATTGTTTGGACTCTCGTTCGGGTTCTCGACTTGTTGTGGATTGAGTTCGTACTGGACACAATAAGTAGGACATTTGGTTGTTTTGGTGTCGGCTCAGTTTTGGAAAAACATCACCGAGGTGGAGAATTGTGAAGCACGTGAAAAGTTCACGTTTTGAGAACATGTGGGGCCGCCATATTCCTGAATCGAAGCATCAAAGACCAAAGACGTACCAATCTCGTGCGGCCCACCCGAATGTCTCTTTGGCTGCTATAAATATATCTTTGTAGCCTAGGGTTTAGGTGTGGCAGAAGGGAAAAATAAATTGCTGCTGTCTCTTCATTGGCTGCGGGAGCAAGTACGGAAAAGCAAGGAGTTTGTTTGGCTGGAGTTTAATCGACAGAGGTGCAAGTTCGTGCAAGAGGTGTTTGCGGTTACGAAGAAAAGCAGAGGTTTTTTAGGGTTTTGTGTACCTTTTTGAGAGAGATATTTGTATGAGGGATTAGAGAGTTTGTGTGAGGGGTTTTATTTGTGAGATTGTAAACCCCAGTTGTATTCTCTCCCTCTAATAGTAGATCTCCCCCTCCTTACCCCGTGGACGTAGGCTATTTGCCGAACCACGTAAAATTTGTGTTCTTGTCGTGATTTGTAATACCTTGTAGGTTCCCTCGACGCGCAGCCCTAGAGCTGACGAGAGGAAGAGCTGATATCTCACTTTGATGAGATATCTGGCTTTTGGTTCTTGTTTCCTTTGAGAAACGAGAATTTCATTGTGATCTAATCTCTTGTTGTGCACCTTGCGCACCAGAGGTGCTGCCGAAATTTCCGCTGTGCACAACACTAAGATCAATTGAGAGGAACTAAAATAAAGAACAAACAAGAAAGATAAAAGATAGATGCTAGGATTAGATCAGATTCACTAACTAACATCGAACCTTGGAAATAATGGCTTCACACCTAAAACAACTCACATGTTTGAAAGAAGATTTCAAATTCATATTCGTTAATCAATGTCTATATTCCATAGGGCATCTCCAACAGCTTCTCCAAAATTTTCTCTAAAATGGGGAAGCAAAAGTCATATTCTCCAACTAATTTTTACATCAACTCCAACAGCTTCCCCATTTTGAAGAATCCATTTTTTCCTCCAAAAATTTGGAGAATGCTGCAGATTTGGGGAAGCTTCCCCATTTTTTCTCCTCCATCCCTATTTTGGAGAATGAGATGGAGAATCTGTTGGACCAAAAACCTAACTAAATTCTCCAAAAGTGAGAAATGGGGAAGCTGTTGGAGATGCTCAATGTCTTAAAGAATGATATGAAAATTCTAGTTAGCAATTAAATAGCCATTTAATTCTTAATATGTGTTGTTTTAACGAGTTTAAATAATATTCTTTTATTAAGACATCATAGTTGCATAAAATCGCATTTATAGCACTTTTAAAGTTTATTTCACCTGCATTCATCAGGTTGACAAAGACCAGGCCTTAACGGAGTTGAGTGTTTGGAAACAATTACATTGCTGAACTCAGTATTCAACATCAGCTGATATCTTTAACCCTGAGAGAGAAATTTGCTTTTCTTTTTTGAGTGTGAAAGCACTTTCTTGCTTGTCAGGTGAAGATGCATAGCTCATTGCTTAGTTGTCTTTTCTGTAAATCAATAATAAGTTGACTTCTGTATCCCTAATTTGACTTTATGTTATGATTAGGCTTTTGTTATGAATTAAAGCGATTGGCTTAGGTCAGTCAACTAGAAGCTTGAAGAAATTATTCTTTTTCTCATTGTTGGGATGCATATCTCACGGCTTGTACCAAAGACTTTTACTTTAGTTTTTTAGAAAAATAATTTCTAGTGTTGGCTCTTGCATCTAAATGAACTAAAAGTTTCATCACCTTCTCCAGGAAATAGAACTATTGAAATTCTCTTTGCTCTCATTGAGACATTAGGTGGATATTGTTTATTTATGAGATCATAAGAATATAAGTACATCAAAATGCATATTCCTCAAATACTTGTAAGCTACATAAGCGCGCGCGTGTGTAATTTTCTTTTTGCTTTTCCTTAAATTATTTTATCCTGGCCTTAAGTTTGCAGCCTATATACACGGCCATACTTACTTTCTAACCATCAACCTTTAGGCGATTAGCTTTCCAAATTCAATGTAGCTTGATCATATCAGCATTCATATTGAATCTATAAAGAAACTAAATGTAGCAGAAGACAAATTCATAAAAATGTTAGATGAAATTATTGAACTTCTAATTTTAATTTTCAATGGGTCATGGTTTTCTGCCAAGAATATTGACTGTAATCAATTGGTAGAGTCACTAGTCACAGTCTCTGCTACTCAGTTAGATTTCGTTATCTATCACCTATCATGTAATATGCAAAGGATGGGTTTGTTATACATTATTTTTCAGAACAAAAATTATTTTGGGGAATAACTTATTTCACAATATTATACACCATTGTGAGAAGTATGTTCACAATTTTCTCTTGGCCTTTTTTTTTCTTTGGCATACAATTTGACCATGTTTTGCAATAGACAGTAAACAAAATGTCCTTGGATGAGCTCCAGACTCTCTGTTTACATTTTCTATTCCTCTATGGCCATTTTCTCTTCAATTGTTTTGTTGGTTTTATAGATTGGTTATGGGAAGTTTTAGTCGGATTTTGAGATGTCTTGTCTCCTTCGTATTGTATCAAGTCCTGATAAATCTTCAATATCTAATTGTGGGCGACAATGTCCTTACTGGTTCATTACCGACGTCTCTCTTGAATGTTTCTTCTCTCAGCTTTATCAAATTTGCTCTTAACGATCTGACTGGACGAGTGCCGTTACTCACCAATTTATTGGAGGTTGAGAGCTGGATTTATGAACTGAATTTCTTACAGGTATTATTTTGAGAAATCATGAAGTTCACAGTTTTACCTGCTACTGATCAATGCCACATCAAGTTATTTGGTTTGAATTGTTATGATGATAACGATGATGAATGATTGTGAAATCTTGTACATTACATTCTTGATTCATACTGATGCATCCCACATCAGAGCCTTGATAATTTCTGTGTGATATGTCCCTTTGCCGATAGTGCTTTTCCGCAATGTCAGCAAGCCCATCTTTCCGGAAGGCCACAATATTGCCTACTTTGTTAGGCTTAGGAAGGTTTGATCCCCAAATTTAAAAATGTGTTCCACATATCCTCGGAGACTTTCGTATTATAAGAATAGATATAATTTCTGACTATGAAAGTGCACTTAGAATGCACATATCCATATAACAATAAATCACATCCTCCTCATGATAGTACTCCCAATGGTAGGGAATTGTTCCGAAGAAAACTTTTATCTCCTCATAACGGGAATTTGCTCTGAAATTACTCCCTACAATTATTGCTGACATTGCTAGCATACGTATTCAAATTACATTCAGTGTGAAGAGTTAATAAAAACAAGCATGCGTCATCCAATATAGCGTGGACTTCAACCATTAATATTTTGTAATGAAATGACCAAGTCTGCTTCCCATCCAAAAAACAGTTAAAACTTGTTATTACAAAAGTTGAAATAATCTTGCATAATGTATCGATTCTCTAGCTTATTCTTGTATGTCATCCTGTTCTTGATTGATCAGCAATATTCTCCATGAAGCAGCCTCCTCCTCGCTTTTTGTCCGTCCAAGTTGTGTTCTTGTTATCCATCTTCTCTTTTCCTCAGCAGCCGGCATCAAGAAAATACACCAATCTCACTGATCTTGAATCACTATTGGCCTTCAAAGCTCAGGTCCGCGATCCTCATGCAATCTTGAGCACCAACTGGACCAGCAACACATCCTTTTGCAACTGGATTGGTGTCTCCTGCAGCCGTAGGCATCATGAGCGAGTCACTGCCATTGACTTTCTGAATTTTCCTCTCCAAGGTACAATCTCTCCGCACCTTTCCAACCTCTCCTTCCTCTCTAGGCTTGACCTGGCTAACTGCTCTCTCGCTGGCTCCATACCTCAAGTCCTAAGCCAACTGCCACGTCTCGAGGAGTTGTACCTCGAAGAGAACTCCCTCTACGGTTCCATTCCGACCGCTATCTTCAATATGTCTTCACTTGTCCAATTCTTTTGTAGTGATAACAATCTCTCGGGCACTCTTATATCTAATGGAAGTAATATCACGCTCCCTCGTCTGCAACGTATATCGCTCTCAGCTAACCAGCTAACGGGTGAGATCCCGTCTAGCTTTGCTCAGTGTAGGGACCTTGAATCGTTGTCTCTATCTTTGAATGAGTTTAATGGTATCATACCTGCTGACCTTGGTAGCTTGACTGAGCTCAGAAAGCTATATCTTGGTGGGAATAGACTTTCTGGGATAATTCCGAAGTCTCTAGGCAACCTCACAAAGCTCGACGGCTTTGATCTCAGCATTAACATGCTCACAGGAATTATTCCCAAGGAGTTGGGCAATCTAGCGAACTTGCAAAACCTACTTCTTGGAGATAATGGCTTTAGTGGTTCAATACCCACTTCTCTCTTGAATTGTTCAAGAATTGAAATTTTCGAGCTTGCCGTTAACAATCTTACTGGGCCCGTGCCTGCTTCTATAGGAAAATCCATGCCCCTACTCACCCGGTTATTGTTGGGAGGGAACCGACTGTCTGGGGACCTTGACTTCATTACATCTCTTTCCAACTGCAGGGATTTATATTACCTCCACTTGATAGGCAATGAGCTGAGAGGTGTTCTTCCGAGCTCCATTGGGAATCTCTCCATAAATCTTCAACATTTATTTGCTGGCCTTAATTTTATAAGGGGAGAAGTTCCTACAGGTTTGAAGAACCTAAGTAACTTGGTTTCTCTACATCTGGGAGGAAATGAGCTGATTGGAACTATTCCATTGTCCTTTCCGAGGCTAGAAAAGCTTCAGTATATGTCATTGCATGGTAATGGAATAAGCGGATCCATACCATCGGAGCTTGGCCTACTAAGAAGTTTAAATGTGTTGCGGCTGGAAAACAATAGACTTGTTGGTCCTATACCGTATTCTATAAGTAACATCAGCGGGATACAATACCTCGCATTATCCGGCAACAGATTATCATCGAACATTCCCCTTGATTTTTGGAGCCTAACAAGTCTCATTGAACTGCACCTTTCAAAAAACATGCTTGATGGCTTGCTTCCTTCAGTGGGAAGTTTGGAGTATTTAAATATATTGGATCTTTCATCGAACATGTTGTCAGGTAACTTGTCAAGTTCTCTAGGCCGACTTCAGGTGCTTACACATCTTGATCTTTCTAACAACTCATTTGAAGGTCAAATACCAAGCTCTCTAAGTGGATTGATAAGCATCAAGTACCTCAATCTATCCAACAATTTTCTGTCTGGTGACCTACCAAAGTCCTTAGCTAATCTAAGTTACCTTGAGATTCTGGACCTTTCATTCAATAAGCTGGAAGGTCAGATTCCAGAAGGAAGAGTATTCTCAAATCTCTCCATCCCATCTTTGGAAGGAAACACAGCACTTTGTGGTGCACCTCTGCTGGACTTTCCACCATGCCCCTCAAACGCTGTGAACTTTCATTCAACAAGAAAACTACAACTGATCAAATACATCCTTCCACCGATTCTCTTCGTTGTGCTTGGGTTTGCTAGCTTTTGTCTTATACGTGTAATCTATCAAAGAAGAAAAAAGATAACTGTGACTCGCACAGTTTCGACAGGTTTAGATGAGCAAAGAGTGATTTCGTATCTTGAGCTAGTTCGTGCTACGGAAAATTTCAGTGATGCCAACTTAGTAGGAAAGGGAAGTTTTGGCTCAGTGTTCAGAGGGTGTCTTGATGATGGCTTGACTGTAGCGGTAAAAGTTTTGAATCTGGAAGTTGAAGGGGCCTTGAAGAGTTTTGATGAAGAATGTCGAGCTTTAAGCATGGTTCGACATAGAAATCTAATAAAAATCATCAGCATATGTTCCAATCATGATTTTAAGGCTTTAGTACTCCAATTCATGCCCAACATGAGCCTTGAAAGGTGGATATACGGTAACAATCAGTGCCTCGATCTACTCCAGAGGTTGAACATAATGGTGGATGTGTCATCAGCACTTGAGTATCTCCACCATCACTTACCTCGTACTGTCCTACACTGCGATTTGAAGCCAAGTAATGTCTTGCTGGATGAAGGAATGGTAGCACATCTGGGTGATTTTGGCATTGCAAAATTGATGTTTGGTGATAATCAGTCCGTTGTGACAGCGACCACACGAGGCACTATAGGTTATATTGCTCCAGGTTTGTGAAATGAACTAAATTAAGATCAATGCATGTATTTTGTCATCAAATTTCTGTTTTAGTTTCCTCATTTGGGACTTTGGCCCGATCTCAATTCAAAACTATCTACTGATTGTAATTGTTAGATCACATCGAAAGTTTTCTTGAACTTAATCCAATACGTATAAGGAAATCCTAAAACACACACACACACACACACAAAAGATTAATCTTAGATGAACAAACTACCCAAGCACCCATATGTAATGCAATATTTAACAAATTGCCATGCTTTTATTCTGACACATATACACAATCTAGCATGTTTTAGGTGGGATGTTTCCTTCTTTTCTCCTTATGTTATTGACACATGCTAGCTTTGATGTGAGCATGTCTCGTCCATAGTAAACTTGAATATAGTGAGCTCATGGCTTATCGTAATGTTTGCCTCAGAGTATGGATCTACAGGAACGGTCTCAAGAATGAGTGATGTCTACAGCTTCGGGATTCTCTTGTTGGAAACGTTCACAAGAAAAAAGCCCACGGATGCCATGTTTAACGAAGAATCAAACTTAACAGAGTGGATAAGTAATGCATACCCCAAAGCGTTAACGGAGATTGTAGATCACAATCTTTTGAAAGATGGTTCTAAAACTGAACAGGAATCAGAAGATCAAGTGGCCGTGTATCAGTGCTTATCATCTATTATCGAGTTGGGGTTGATGTGTTCGAGGTTTTCACCGTCAAAGAGAATTCCAATGACACAAGTTGTTCCCAGGCTGCAGGATATAAAACAGGAGTACATGTTGCAGCTCTCCTATTCCTGAGTCTCTGATACTCTGTTTCATTTTGGGTTGGGGCGTACTCTCGTCCAAATTCCAAATTGTAGTCGATCATCTCCATGTGAGGAATATTTAAGCTATTTCATTGTAACTTAATGTTATGCTGAATGATTGTGGGATCAATCAGTTATTTCTTACCTCTTTTCTCCACCATATGTGTCACGCCCCGAAACTGCAGCGAAAAATTTATAAATACAGGGTACGTGACAGCAGCGACTCATGCACAAGACAAGTCTTATGCATGAGTCAAGCCTAGCACTTCATAACACATAGTTTATCTCAAAACATTTATAAACCTGCTGATGATATATAGAAGTTCAGAGCAACTATATATATGTATATAATCGATACTTACAACCCACAAGCTCACAGTTATAAGCATTTTACTACTTCAAACACATTGTTGACTGTATGTAACATCAAAAAGGAGAGGCTCTCCATATAACGCCTCTCAGCCAAATGACCTAACCAAAAGTTCGGCTAGTATGAAGCTACACCAGATCTGGAAAAAAAATTAAAAACAACGGGGTGAGCTAGAGCTCAGTGAGAACATTGCCCACTAGAGTTCCTAGATAACTAACAAAATAGTAATAATAATAATTCTCAAAAATAACAAATTATAATTTTGCACCAGAAATTCAAAAATAGCAAAATACGATCCAAATATCATAATATTGTCATCTATAAGAAAGAATACAAAAGTTATATTTTCTTTCTTATGTGTAACTGAATATACTATAATATTTTATTAAAATCAGACCCTTTCGAAGCAAGGTAAACATTAACAAGAAAAGAAATTTCTAAATTGGGTACAAAACCAAATGAGTATTATTTTCTTAATTTCACAGTCAATTATCAGAATCTTAAATCTCGATGAATCGTATTCTTCGAATTCACGCTCAAATCTTAAAATCACAAATCTATTACTGTCGGGTGATGTGGACTCTAGAGGTGGCTCCTGCAGGCTCTAGAGGTGGCTCTCACTGTGTCCACACGGTGTACCACTTAGTCCCGTATAGCACTTAACTCCACATTTCCGGCTAGTAATTCATGAACCACAAGAATCACCTCATATGTCACACTAAGGCTACGAATTATAGCCCAGTAGCATGGGAATACGTAAAACACATCAGATAACAGATAATTCTCGAGAATCGAATGCACCTAACACTGCCATAGGTTACTGGCTAAAACAGAGGGGCCGGAACAAATTTCAGAAGGGCCAATACAAAGGGGCCAAATAAAGATGCATTTACCATATGGCAGGCAGAATCACTTCATAGTGAACTTTTTGAGGGTTTAAAAACATCGAGAATCACTAGTCAAATCAGAAAAACCGTGCTTATCAGAATTTAGAAATATTTTCAAATGAAGTGTACGAGGCTGAAACTCTCCATCCTAGTTAAAACATTTCACGGATTTCACTTTTCTTTATTTTTATCAGATACTAAGTCACAGAAATTCTTTGAATCCATTAAACTGTCGAAGCACATTCAAAATATTTCTTTTCTTCAAAAGCTTTCAAATAAAGAAATTCCCACAATTATTTGAAATCGCATGAGAACCAAATTCACTTTTCATAGTTTATATAAAATCAAATTGATTTTTCATATCTTATACGAAATCAACATCGTATTACGGCTTAGGCCACAACAAAAGTAAATTAAATCACCTTTAAGTTTATATACATGAAAATGATATATTATTTATTTTTCGATCACAAGATAAATCGATTATAATACTCATACAATTTCATATTATAAAATACTAGTGAGAAATGAACTCACCTCCACTGAGTACAACTTCCTCAAAACATTATTTTCCAGATATCAAATCTGAACCTATATATAGAATAATATGACTATTATTAGTTCACGATAATACATATTATAAGTTAATCAATTCATAATCTAGAGTTAATAATTTCAAATATAATCCATAACAATTTAAAATCCATAAATAGGGTGGATATGGATTTATTTCTAACTTATGATAGGGCAGGGGTTATGGGTAATTCACGCTCAAAACTAAGACTCCTCCTTGCTCTCCAAAGATCATATCAATGCATCATCTCCTCCTGAGGTGGAAGCAACATTTGCATCTGCTTTTGCCTCCCACTCCTTCTGTGCACTCTTGCACTGATTCTTGTAGTGCTCGGTTTTCCCGCACTTCCAATACTCAATAGCCTTCGAGCTGCTGGGATTCCTGGATTTGGACCTCCTGTCTTCTGATCCATTTCCTCTGGTTGAATTTCTATCTCTTGATTATGTATGCAATACTGAAGAGGTTGTAGCTTCACCTGACTCTCTCCATCAGCTACTAACAGCTGTGACTGTAGCTTCACCTGACTGTAATCGAACGTCATCAGCTACTGAAGAGGTTGTAGCTTCACCTGACTCACTGAGAACCAGATGATCACCTGACTGAAGAGGTTGTAGCTACTGAAGAGGTTGTAGCTTCACCTGACTCACTGAGAACCAGATCACGAACGTCATCGAACTTCAACTTGTTGTTTCCCGACGAGCTACTAACAGCTGTGACTGTAGCATTCCAGTTTTCTGGTAGGGAAGACAAAAGGATCAACGCTCGTACTTCTTCATCAAACTCAATATCAACTGAACTCAATTAGGTCGTGACTGTAATGAGTTCATTGAGATGTTGTGCTACCGATGCACCTTCCGTCATTCGCAGATTGAATAACCGTCTCATTAAATAAACTTTGTTTAAGGCTGATGGCTTCTCATACATATTTAAGAGTGCTGTCATAAGATACGTCGTGGTCTTTTCCTTTGCAATGTTAAAAGCAACATTACGGGTTAACGTCAAACGGATAATCCCGAGGGCCTTTCTGTCTAGAATATTCCAATCTTATTCCTTCATACCCTCCGACTTCTTTCCTGAGAGAGGTTGATGCATATTTTTCTGATACAGATAATCCTCTATCTGTATTTTCCAAAATCTAAAATCTGATCCATCAAACTTCTCTAATATCACATTTTTTTCATATGTGGCCATGACTCCCACTTGAATCTGACTTCCTCTAGATTATTTTCGGCTCTGATACTAGTTGTTGGGGAATACCCGGGGCTACGCTAAACCTCTAAAACAGCAAGAAACGTAGTATAGAGAAAATTACACCAAGATTTACGAGGTACGGCAAACTTGTCTACGTCCTCGGGAGCCACACAATTAATTTCTTATTAATCAAAGAAATTACAATGTAAGAGCAGATCTCAAACTTGAGATCTCTTAATAAATACAAATCAACAATGTAGCTACAATAAAGATTCCTCTCTTAAATCCCCCTTTTTAAATCCCCCCCCCCTTAAATCCTAAGTGCTGGAGAGAAAAGAGAAGAGCAGAGAAGAGACATTGCAGCGCCCAGAGAGCAGAGAATGCATGAAGGAGAGAGAGAAGAAGCCCCAGCACCACCCCCACGAGATCTGGGTTCCGCTTTTATAGGAAACCCTAGCTAAGATGTAGACGGATTGTCGACAGCCTGTGAGGAGCTCGCATGCGCTCAACTTCGGGCTCGCCAGCAGATCCACGATCTCGCCCTCACCTGCTTTGCGTCGAGCTCGCCTGACAGAATCTCGCCCGCCTCAAGCTTGCCTTGAGCGACCTCACCTGACAGAAGCTGCCCGCACTCGCCTGCACCTCGCCCACTCGACCTCGCCTGAGCTTGCCTCGAGCTGGCCGTCGACTTCGTCTGAGCCTCACTTCGAGCTCGCCGTCGACCTCACCTGCGGAGTTTGTGTGTACACCCGACACTAACAATAACATCCTGCAAGTTGATCTAATCAATATCTTTTTGGTGAATAGTTGTTTTATCTTGGGTAGTGGTGCCAAAAGCCGACGGGCCAGCCTGGGGTCGGCCAGGGTCGGCCCAAAAACCCGGGCCAGACCCGGGTCCAGGCCGCCTCGATGACGCCCAGAATAGTAACTTTTTTATTTTTTTTTATTTTATATGTGTTAATATGTATTATATGCACGAAATGAGTTCAATTTCTCTCTTTCCTTCTAATAGAGGACAGCTATTATTTTGTTGGCAGTGGAAGGTTGGGTGGCAACCGATTGAAATTTCCAAATCCGGGCCGAACGGGTGAGTCGTACGAACGCCAAAATCAGCCGATTAAGTCGTTTTTTCGGTTCCAACCGAAACTTGCACATCCGTAGGGGTGTCCAAAAAGCTCGCCGGCCGGCTCGGCCCGAAAAACCGGGCAATCGGGCTTCCGTGGCGCCCGGGCCGGTCTTTTGGTCCCGACCCGGTCTGGCGCCGGCCGCGGAATAGTAAATTTTTTTTATATTTTTTTTATTTTTTTTATATATACTATTATGTAGAATTATGTATATATAAATATATATATATGTATAAATATGTATATATAATATATGTATATATAATATATTTCTATATATGTATATATAATATATTTCTATATATGTATATATAATATATTTCTATATATGTATAATATGTCGTATGTGTGTATATATATACTCTCTCTTAGTATATAAGTATATATAAGTATACTCTCTCTTAAATAAGTATATATATGTATAAGTATATATAAGTATACTTTCTCTTATATAAGAATATATAAGAATACTCTCTCTTATATATATATAATGTATGTATGTATGTATGTATGTATATACTCTCTCTTAGTATATATGTATATATAAGTATACTCTCTCTTATATAAGTATACTCTTATATATATATATATAATATATGTGTGTGTGTATACTCTCTCTTAGTATATAAGTATATATAAGTATAGTATATTACAACGGCTACTTCTTCCCCATTGGCCCAACGGGCAACGACTACTTATGCGATTCTCTCTCTCTCAAGTTATAACTTATAAATATATACAATATATTTACATATAATATATGTATATATAATATATAGTTACATAATAATTTTTAAGTATATACTAATACATAATTATATAAAATATAATAATATTAAAGTAATTTTTAGCATTTTTTATCAAAAAAAAAGAAATAAAAAGAAATTTAAAAAAACCTATCTGTGATGTACTTATCTATTGTTATGCGATGAATTCCAAAATAAATTTATACTTATAATTTGTAAATGATTTATTAATTATTAAT